TTTATTATTGCACTTACATTTATTTTGAGTTTCAAACACTTTTATATTATATGAAATATATATATTGTTTTTAGGTGGATGAAAAAATGATAAAACAATTAAAGTATCATTTTATTGCTGCATATTTTTACATTTATTAATGTTTATTATTACACTTTAATGTTTGTATATTTTTACATTTATTTATTACATTTTATATATGTGTGTGTGTATTCATATATATATATATAGCATTTCCAAGTCAATTTCAACCTTTTCCAAGTCAAATTCAACCTTTTCCAAATCAAATTAAACTTTTTCCAAGTCAAATTCAACCTTTTCCATTTCAAATTAAACCTTTTCCATTTCAAATTCAACCTTTTTTTATTTATTTAATTATCTTTAATTTTTCGATGTGTGGGTCTGTTATCGTATGAGTAGTTTTTGAAAATAACCTCCTTTTTAAGATTACGTGACTGGGTTTCGAATTATTTAAGTTTTTTTGAATTATTCGATATAAGGGTGTATTTTTATGTTTCCCGATCATTAAATTTTGAAAATGACATCCATTTTAAGATTAGGCCACCGCGTTTTGATTTATTTGAGTTTTTCGGATATTTATCCATATAGAGGTGTATTTTTATGTTTCCGGAGCTGTAGATTTTGAAAATGACCTCCATTTTAAGATTACGCCACTGCGTTTCGACTTATTTAAGTTTTTCGGATTTATTCGATGTAAGGGTGTATTTTTATGTTTCCGAAGCTGTAGATTTTGAAAATGACCTCCATTTTATGATTACGCCGCTGCGTTTTGACTTATTTAAGTTTTTCGAATTTATCCAATATTAAGGTCTACTTTTATGTTTCTTGAGCCGTAAATTTTGAAAATAACCTCCATTTCATGATTACGCCATTGCATTTTGACTTGTTTAAGTTTTTCGAATTTATCCAATTTAAAGGTCTACTTTTATGTTTTCGGAACCGTAGATTCTGAAAATGACCTCTATTTTATGATTACGCCACTGCGTTTCAACTTATTTAAGTTTTTAGAATTTAACAAGTATAAAGGTCTAATTTTATGTTTCTGGAGCAGTAGATTTCCCCCATTTTGTAAATGACCCAATTTCAAGTTTATGCCACTGTGTTTTGGATTATAAAAGTTTTTTTTTTTACTTTTTCGGTATAAGGATCTACTTATATGTTATCCGAGACGTATTGAAATTTTTCTAATCTTTAATATTTAAATTTATCTAATATTTAAGCTCCATTTTATGATTAAGCCGCTGCATCTCGAATAATTAGGCTTCATTTTGGATTTTTTCAATACAAAGTTTCATCAATATGTTTTCGAGTATGAATAAATAAATAAATATTATGAAGCTAAAGTTAAATTAACCACAGAATACAAACTAAAAAGCCGAAAAGCAGCTGGTAATAAATTTAACCTTCCGTATTCAGATTTTTCAGCTAATTGTTCGAAATCTTATAATTTTGTGACAGGAGACCACAACATTAAAAAAGATAACTAAAATTAAATTAAAAATGAGACAATACATATTTTATTTATTTTGATTAGATATTTTTATTTATTTACTGAAAAATAAATTAATCCGTATTTTGTTTTTTATTTGAAGGAAAAATCAAAAACACTTAAAAAAACCGAAACACAGTGGCCTAATCTTAAAATGTAAGTCGTTTTAAAAACTAAGGCTCCGGCATCATAAAAGTAGACCTTTAAATTGGATAAATTCGAAAAACTTGAATAAGCCGAAACGCAATGGCGTAATCTTAAAATGGAGGTCATTTTCAAAATCTACGACTCCGGAAACATAAGAATACAATCTTTTATGATAAAAATTCGAAACACTTAAAGAAATCTAAATGCGGTGGCCTAATCTTAAAATGGAGGTCATTTTCAAAATCTACGGCTCTGGAAACATAAGAATACATCCTCATATGAAAAAAATCCGAAAAACTCAAAGAAATCGAAACGCGGTGGCCTAATCTTAAAATGGAGGTCGTTTTCAAAATCTACGGTTCCAGAAACATAAAAGTAGACCTTTATATTGGATAAATTCTAAAAACTTAAATAAGTCAAAACACAGTGGCGTAAACATAAAATGGATGTCATTTTCAAAATTTACTGATTGGGAAACATAAAAATACACCCTTATATCGAATAAGTCAAAAAAACTTAAATGATTCAAAACGCAGTCACGTAATCTTAAAATGGGGGTTATTTTTAAAACTAGGTACAGGACAGCATAATACCAATCCCTAATAAATCCGAATAGGTACAATAAATCGATATCCGTAAGTGAAAATTCTATTTAGGAGAGCATAATAATAGACTTTCATATTGGAGGGGGGGAGGGGATGGTCATTATTTTAAAGAATATATATAAAATTTACAAAAAATTATAACATTAATTTGAAATGAAAACGGTTGAATTTGAATTGGAAAAGGTTTAATTTGAAATGGAAATGGTTGAATTTGACTTGGAAAAAGTTTAATTTGATCTGGAAAAGGTTGAATTTGACTTGGAAAAGGTTGAATTTGACTTGGAAATGACATAGAAATATCACACTGAAAAAATCTAAAATGTTAAAATAAATGGATATGCAACCGTGTTATCAATTTTTTTTTTTGTATTTTTCAAAAGATATGCCTTCGATAATATAGCAAGTGGCCTTCATTTCGAAAAAAATCGAAAATTGACAAAAATTCGAAAGTTGAATTTGAAATGGTAAAGGTTGAATTTGACTTGGAAAAGGTTGAATTTGAAATGGAAAAGGTTGAATTTGACTTGGAAAAGGTTGAATTTGAAATGGAAAAGGTTTAATTTGACTTGGAAAAGGTTGAATTTGATTTGGAAAAGGTTGAAATTGACTTGGAAATGCTATATATATATATATATATATATATATATATAGATACACTGACATGTAAAAAATTCCACCCACTTGATTTTTTCATGTTTTCATCTAAAAATATTTCTGCTTTGGATTGGTCTATTGTTTTTAATGAATAAATAGGTAATCTTTTTGTTTGTTTTCAATTAGGAATGTTATTATAGAGGACGATAACCCTTAATCCTTAATTCAGTATAATTAGTTCAGTGCCGTTTCTTGCACCACATTTCTTAGTCTCTTTTAATTTTTTCAATATTAAGTTTAAAAATGCCTCTTAGTATATCTTTGCCAGAGGATAGCCCATTTCTCCCGAAGAGCCCTTTCAAGGTCCTTCAGTGTATCAGGAAGTGTTGCACACGCTCTTATTCGTCTTCCGAGGTTATCCCATAAATGCTTAATGGGGTTCAAATCTGAAGAACGTGCTGGCGAGGCTAAAATCTCAATATTGTTCTGTTGAAGGAACGTCTGCACTATGCGGGCGACATGTGGGCGTGCATTAGAATAGAACGATCACCGATTTAGTTGAGGATAGGCAACACATGATATTCCAAAATCTCATCTACATAGTGAATGGCCGTCAAAGACCCTCCACGAACAACAACCAATTCTGTGCGGCGCTCCATTGAAATCCCAGCCCATACCATTAAGGAACCACGTTGGAAAGGTTGGCTCTGGGAAAAATTACAGGCTGCATATCTTTCGTTTCTTCTTCTCCACACTCTTTCACGCCCGTCTGGAGATCGAAGAGCGAATCTTGACTCATCTGTAAAAAGTACAGCACTCTATTCGTCAATAGTCCAATGGCTGTGTTCTCGAGCAAAAGCCAGCCGTGTTACTCTGTGAGTTCTGGTCAACTCTGGTCCTCTTACTGGACGAAAAGCCATTAATCCATACTCATTTAATCTTCTCCGAGCGGTACATTCAGAAATTTGCACACCTCGAACTTCTTCGAGCTGATGAATCGCTTGAACAATGGTAAGGTGCTGGTTTCATAAAATTCTCAAAGTCAAAAACCGGTTATCCCGTGGTTCTGTTACCCTAGGCCGTCCAGAACCGGGCCTTCTATTGTAAAAACCAGTTTCCTGAAAATGCCTGACGGCGTCTCGTAAAGTTTCATATGGAACTCCGATGGCATTAGCTGCGTATCTAATGGAACGTCCATCATCAATAAGTGCCACACCATGCGCAACATCCTCAGCACTAAGAGGCATTTTTAAACTTAATATTGAAAAAATTAAAAGCTGGAGACTAAGAAATGTGCTGCAAGAAATGGCACTGAACTAATGATACTGAATAAACATTTTGATTCCATAGAAAGTAAACATTGGAATCTAGAATCATTTCATTGAATTAAGGATTAAGGGTTATCGTCCTCTATATTAACATTCCTAATTGAAAACAAACAAAAAGATTACCTATTTATTCATTAAAAACAATAGACCAACCCAAAGCAGAAATATTTTTAGATGAAAACATGAAAAAATCAAGTGGGTGGAATTTTTTGTCTGTCAGTTTGTGTGTGTGTGTATATATATATATATATATATATATATATATATATATATATATATATATATATATAATCATTATTATAGTAGTTTTGAGGATCATATTTGAACCTTATATTTGATGGTGTGTGCATGACAAATCATTATTGTTTAGCTTTACCATTATATGCTGTCTTATTTAGTTGAAAGCATTTTACCTCTAAGAAACCTTTTATTATTAGTTTTATTTCATGAATAAAAAAAAATCCTGTACCACTACAATCCATGGAGAGTGTTGGGATCAGTTACTTTATTAGGATATACTGTTTCAAGGTTGTGCAGGTGAGCTCACCAGCCAGATTTTTTCTCCCTTAATTAATTACTTAATGAAGGGTACCGACTTTAGAGAGGTTGACTATGACCCAAGATCAGTCCAAGCCAGATGAAACAGAATCAATAATTATATGCCATCTGCTGGGTTCGAACTCAGTGGTAGGAGGTGGCTGCTTGAGCTTAGGAAGTCAGTGCCTTGCCCACTGAGCCATATCCTCTCCCTTTCTTAATGAATATTTTAGTAATATAAGTAATTTATGAACCTATATCCTTTTTGTCTATTTACAGGTAAAAATTACTGAAATTTTTGATGTCACTCAAAATGCTGAGGTTGACTCAACCAAGAGAAATCTTTCATATGATTGGGAAGATACTTCAAGCTCATTCTTTACTTCAAAATATGAAGATCATGATGGTAACCATGAATGTATTTAATTGTTGGTAATGTTTAATATTAATTCTGCTATTTATCTATATCATGTTTATGCATCTCTATTAAATTATTTATATGCATGTAGAAAGACATCTACTTAATTTAGAAGAAGAAGAAGAAGTTTCTTTATAAGGTTTTTGATTTGTTAATAAAATTAAATAGTTTCTACTTCAATAATCGACCCATGAAATGGAATATATATTGCGTATTGCAATCATGAAAATTTCTGAATCTGAGTTTTCAACGGAAATACACATTTTGAGGTACTCTGAGTCCAAATAACCAAGTCCCACAAAACGGTCTGTGTGTCTGTATGTGTATGTTAGCAGTCTAGCTCAAAAACAAAAAGTCGTACGAAACTGATATTGCGTACTTAAGATTCAGGTATATGCCTTAGATGTGACAGCAACTTTTCCCTTAAAATCACCTAACCGGAAGTGCCACTTTATATCAACGCTGAAACACATTTTTACTTCTTCTTCTTTCTCTAGCTTCTTTGTGTCCCACAGTCCCTCTTAGTTTTGCCAGCTATTCTTCGGAGGAATCTCATTTCCGCTGCTGTGATCCTGCCTACGTGCTTATCGAGGGTTGTCCAGCTTTCAGATCCATAAAGAAGTACTGGGTGGAACACCGTCTTATAAATCGTGAGTTTGGCCTTTTACACGGTGGGCCAGACCCCCTTACCGTGCACCCCCCCCACATCCCTATAAATTGCATATCGTTGTGTTCCTTGTAACAATTTATTAAAAAAAAGCCAATGTTCCCACAAAAAAAAGTGAACGCACTGCCCCAAAATGGCGTCCAAAGATGGCGGATTGACGACTTTGACTTTAGTTAGTTTTTTGGTCACTGAGAATCAGAATTAAGCTTAATTTCCTCATAGTTGGTCTTTTATTAAAGCTGAATAGTTATAGAATAATAAAACATGAAGAAATATTAAAAAATAATTGTCTAAGGCTATGAAAAACACCAGTAAAGTCAATTTTTTTAACAAAAAAATTTTCAAGTTACAAATCAAGCGTCGTTTGTAATTAAACGGCCTACAATAACGCAAAACGTGCTGAAATAAACCATCTGGAGAATATATTTCTCTTTCTGAAACGCTGATTATTTTTTACAAATGTTTAAGTAGTTCCGTAAAAAATGCACTTATGCGGCAGAAAAGCGGTACTGGCGTGGGTGCCTACAGGCCTCTACCACACCATTCAGTGCCCATAAATGGCTTAGTTATAGTGATATAATAATATTTTTTGTACATTATATTGGTTTTATTAACGAACAAATATTAATGCAATAATTTTATAGTAAAAAATTTAATTAAAAAAAAAAATTATTATAATTTTTTTAAATTTTAACCTCCTTTATTTTATACGTAGGTCGTTTAAGAATACCTCAATTGTAAAAATGATATAATTATAATAATAAAAGTTAATTAAAAAATATTTTGCTATATATCTTGATTTTTTTTTATTTAACGTTTGCAATTTAACACTGTGTTTTGAATATTTACTGATTCTTAGAAGTAATTAAAATTTTTATATATTTCCCAGGAAATGAGTCATATTCATACCTTTTTTATAAACTAAAATAATATATACCTAATCTGAACTATATATAATGAATAGCTACCGGGTTGTTTAGGGTTGTTGATCTCAAAATGAGGAAAAACGTGAACTTAAACGAGAAAATTGGAAAAATACATTAAGCGAACGAGAAAGGAAGTGCCAAAACCTCGGAATAGATAAAAAGGACCAGTTATATCCATTATATAGCTCAATGAATGTATAGTAGATAGATGAACAGAATATTTCAAGATGCTGCTAAAACGGGATCAATTGCAGTTTGGATGATATTAAGTGGACGATGTAGGTTTATTATGGTGAAAACCACTTTATTTTTGAGTGCTGAAGGTGCACCTCGGGACTATATTAACTTTGAAGATGAATATAGAGAGGTATATCGAGAAAGTTATAGCTCATGGCTTTCCTTCTGTTTAGTGGATTTTCAAAAGATTTTTTAAGGGATTTAAAACGAAAACGAGTTTTTCTGAAAGACAGTTAGATATTAGCATAATCCAAAGTGTGAGGCACTGAGCAGATAGAGAGCTATTTTTCTTTTTATGTGGACTTCTCTATAACCTGCCTTAAAGTGAAGACAGTCCCAATTTTCAACTTCTCTTCCAATGTGCAACTTGAGTTTCTCAATCCATATCGCTCTGGCAATCGACAATATTTCTTATTCCAGCTTCTACGATTCTTGTGTATAATTTGTTTGATACACTAAACAGGAATGGGTCTTGATGGGTATTACATTTCCTAGTACCTCCTTTCTTGTAAAGGTAAAAACCACAGTCCTTTCATGTTATTTTCTAATATGCTTGTTGCCTATGTACGCGCAAAACTGTCAAAGCAGTTTGGTTTCGCCCTTTCCATCTTTCTTTGTGCAGAGAGAATAATACATTCAATATTAAAATTTCCTATTTTTTTTATGATATGGTACAAATTCCGAACAATTCAAGAATAACGAGAAGAATAGCGAGCTACAACTAATATAAGATACCTTAAAAAATCTTTTGAAAATCCACTAAACAGAAGGAAAGCCATGAGCTATAACTTTCTCGATATACCTCTCTATATTCATCTTCAAAGTTAATATAGTCCCGAGGTGCACCTTCAGCACTCGAAAATAAAGTGGTTTTCACCATAATAAACCTACATCGTCCACTTAATATCATCCAAACTGCAATTGATCCCGTTTTAGCAGCATCTTGAAATATTCTGTTCATCTATCTACTATACATTCATTGAGCTATATAATGGATATAACTGGTCCTTTTTATCTATTCCGAGGTTTTGGCACTTCCTTTCTCGTTCGCTTAATGTATTTTTCCAATTTTCTCGTTTAAGTTCACATTTTTCCTCATTTTGAGATCAACAACCCTAAACAACCCGGTAGCTATTCATTATATATAGTTCAGATTAGGTATATATTATTTTAGTTTATAAAAAAGGTATGAATATGACTCATTTCCTGGGAAATATATAAAAATTTTAATTACTTCTAAGAATCAGTAAATATTCAAAACACAGTGTTAAATTGCAAACGTTAAATAAAAAAAAATCAAGATATTTAGCAAAATATTTTTTAATTAACTTTTATTATTATAATTATATCATTTTTACAATTAAGGTATTCTTAAACGACCTACGTATAAAATAAAGGAGGTTAAAATTTAAAAAAATTATAATAAATTTTTTTTTAAATTAAATTTTTTTCTTTTTTTACTATAAAATTATTGCATTAATATTTGTTCGTTAATAAAACCAATATAATGTACCAAAAATGTTATTATATCACTATAACTAAGCCATTTATGGGCACTGAATGGTGTGGTAGAGGCCTGTAGGCACCCACGCCAGTACCGCTTTTCTGCCGCATAAGTGCATTTTTTACGGAACTACTTAAACATTTGTAAAAAATAATCAGCGTTTCAGAAAGAGAAATATATTCTCCAGATGGTTTATTTCAGCACGTTTTGCGTTATTGTAGGCCGTTTAATTACAAACGACGCTTGATTTGTAACTTGAAAATTTTTTTGTTAAAAAAATTGACTTTACTGGTGTTTTTCATAGCCTTAGACAACTATTTTTTAATATTTCTTCATGTTTTATTATTCTATAACTATTCAGCTTTAATAAAAGACCAACTATGAGGAAATTAAGCTTAATGCTGATTCTCAGTGACCAAAAAACTAACTAAAGTCAAAGTCGTCAATCCGCCATCTTTGGACGCCATTTTGGGGCAGTGCGTTCACTTTTTTTTGTGGGAACATTGGCTTTTTTTTAATAAATTGTTACAAGGAACACAACGATATGCAATTTATAGGGATGTGGGGGGGGGGGGTGCACGGTAAGGGGGTCTGGCCCACAGACTATTTCTGCTTACTTCCCATTTTCCTATGATTGTATTGGCTATCTGGTAATATATCCCATTGGCCTTCATCACCCAATTTAGTACCTCCTGGTTTATTTTACCATTTTCATTGACGATTGTCTCCAGATACGTGTATGCATTTGTTACCTCTAGGGGTTCGCCATTACTTAACATCATAGGCTCCGCATTATCTTTTCCAATGCACATAACCTTGCTCTTAGACGGGTTACACTGGTATCAAATTCCAATATCCCACAACAGCCCTTGGGGTTCTTCTTTTACACACTTTTCAAATTTCATCCATGAGAAGGATAAAAAGCAGAGCACTAAGACTATCCCCTTACTTTACTCCTTTATAAAAGTGGAAAGGTTCTGATGTGTGTCCATTGAGCCTTATTACACCATTTGGGTCTTGGTATATTGATTTAATGGCACTGAGCAAGTTTGCAGGTACTCTTCTTCTAATTAGTGAGTCCCATATCTCTTGTCTCAGAACTGAGTCAAATGCGGCCCTAAGATCCAGAAATGCTAGATAAACCGATTTTCCACGGCCCCATGCTTTTTCCACAATCATCCATAGAGAGAATATGTGATGTTGGGTCTGTTTGTCTTGGGTCTGAAAGCGGCTTGCTCCTCCTCTAGATCTTGCTCTACTATATGCCTTAGTCGCTGTTCAAGAATTCTTGTGTATATCTTGTACACAACTGACGAGAGGCATATTGGCCTATAGTTCCCGCATTCGCTTTGACTGCCTTTCTTGTGAATAGGGATTATGATATTGTTCTCCCATTCTCGTGGTATCAACTTGAGGTCCCAAATGTTTTGGAAAAGAGTTTGAAGGATCTTGATCATTTCGTTGCCTCCATATTTAATTAATTCTGGAGCTATTCATCTGGTCCTGCTGCTTTTCCCATTTTGATTCTGGCTACTGCCGTTTCCACCTCATCTTCGCCTATTGCGTCATCGAAGTCTTCCGGGTAAACCTCTTCTGCAGTCTCTGTGATTATGGGGTCGGTGTTCTTCCATACTAAATGTTTCCTGGAAGAACTGTCTCCATACTTCTAATACCTCTTTTTCTTCAGTCACCAACTTGCCATTTGCATCTTATATATTTCTGACCGGTTTTGACTTTTTGGCTTTCAGAGCTTTTGCAATATGCCAGAATCTCCTTATATTCTCTCTATAATTCTGTTCTAGCTCCTGACCGAACTGCTCCCAAGTCCTCGTCTTGGCTGATTTAATTATTCTTTTGGTCTCATTTCTGTACTTAACATATTCTTCCCAGTGGATAGGTAGTTTCGTTCTACAGTATGTTTTCCAAGCATCCTTCTTGAGCTTTATTGCTCTTTTCATCTCATCATTCCACCATTTTGTTTTCTTGGTAGACGGCCTCATTTTCTTAATACCACATACTTCACTAGCTGTATCAATGATGCAATTCTTAATTTCTTTCCAAAGAGTATCCAATTCACTATCTCCATTTATTAACTGAAGGCGGCTCTCCAGCATTGTTCTGTACTCTTCTTCTTTGGTTTCAATTTTTAACATTTTAACATCAATTCTATTAAATACTTTGCTAGTTCTCTTCCTTGGCTTGGTATCTTTAGTATCAGCGACTAGTAGCTTGTGGTCTGTACTAAGTTCTGTGCCCCTTATGACTTTAATATCTGTGATGTACCTTCTGAGGTCTCATTCCATGATGAAATAGTCAATGATACTTCTTCTCATACCCTGAGCTCCTCTATTCTTGAAAGTGATCTTATGTATTGTTTTATGATTAAACCACGAGTTCCCTATAAGTAAATTATTTTTTATACAGAATTCTATGAATCGTTGGCCATTACTATTTTGTACGTTTTCACCTCCCCAGGGTCCTATTGCTCCATGCGCATTTTCTTTATCATTTCTTGTTCTAGCATTCAAATCTCCGCAGATCAGTATCATTCTGTTTTTGGTTCTTGCATTATCTACTGTCCTTTGCAGATATTCATAGAACTGGTCCTTGTTAAAGACTGCTGCATCCTCAACTGGAGCATACGCTTGTATCACTGTGACTTTGCCGACTGATGATTCTATGTCTATTGTGAGTGAGACTGCTTCCCATGACTCGATTCTCTTGTATAATTCGTCTCCCATCACAAAAGCAACTCCTTCCTTTGCTCTTTCTCTCTCACTGACACCAGAGTATATCAGATTGTATCCATCTGGCAATGTTAGGTGTACATTTCCTCACTTCACACAATCCTATTAAGTCGACTCTAAATGACTTTCAATAACCGACCCATGAAATGGAATATATAGTAAGGGAAAGTACTGCGATCGTGAAAATTTCTGAATCTGAGTTTTCAAGGGAAATACACATTTAGAGATACTCTGAGTCCAAATAACCAAGTCCCACAAAATGGTCTGTGCGTCTGTATGTCTGTGTATGTGTATGTTAGCAGTCTAGCTCAAAAAACAAAAAGTCGTACGAAACTGATATTACGTACTTAAGATTCAGGTATATGCCTTAAATGTGACAGCAACTTTTTCCTTAAAATCCCCTTACCGGAAGTGCCACTTTATATCAACGCTGAAACACATTTTTACAATTTTCTCAAAAACGGCTATAACTGTTTTGATAAAACTCAGTGTATCATTGTAAAAGAAAGCCTCACCACAATAACATAAGAGTCAATCAAGGATCCAGAAAACATTTCTATATCAGTGTTTTGAGTGGAGTACCACAGGATGGATCACTTTTGTCGCCTTTAACCATTTTGAATACAGATTCACTATAAACAGAACTCTACGATCCGAAAGTTGCAATAGAATACACTTACAATTTAGATCGTACACCAAGACAATGTTCTAATTACAGTTTTTGCAGATGACTGGTAGCAATGTTGAAGCCACAAAGAGGACTATTAACTGCATTCGGAAAATGCTTGGTAAATTGGGATCATCTTGAAAAAGGGAAGGTTGATAAGATCAAAGTTCTGCTTGGATACCAGGGTGTCATTTTTCCAATGAACTGGAATTCGGTGATAATTCTGTGGATAGGATAAATTGAAATATGAAAAAGCAAGTTAATTTGAATTTCTTCAAGCCGGATCAGAAGGTCAACATAGTAAATAAATATGTCTTTCCTTCTTCAATATAACCACTACAAACAACACCAATAATAAAATTGTCCTCACTATTATTGAATTTATTCTCTCTCTCTGTCATGTTACAAAGAAGTGAAAAGGCGATGGTAGGTTTACTAGCTAACATGTGCTCAGCTACGATGTATGCGCAGGGTGGCTCCTCTTGAGGATTGGAACAAATGTAAGTGGCAGGGTGTGGGTGTGTCCCATTTTAAGTCAAACCAAAGGGCTAACAAGTTTATGTATGATAGGAAAATTCTTTTGGGTCTGCTTTGAAACTAAACATCAACTATGCTCCTCTTGGTGGAGTTCAAAAACAAGGCTCAGAAAAATTGATATTGTTATGTCAAATATAAATGTTTGAGACACTGATGTTGAGGAATTTCTTAAATGTTTTCAACTTGGAATTAGAGACAAAAGTAACTATCTGAAGAGATCTGGAAGACATATTGAATAAATTTAGAGAACATTTAAAAAGTAATTTGAATGTAACAACCAACAACTATCTTTATTCCGTATGAACCACAAAATTCTGAACTGCTGTTACGTTAGAGACGGTAATTTTTTTTAAATGCACATCCCTTTTCTGAAAATCGACTAGAAAGTCATCTAAAAGAACCAAAACATCATGAAACCTCTCTAACAGTGTATCCATGAGTTCTTGAAGTTTTTCGTGAGCTGATTTCAACAGAAAGCATATCAGCTTTGAGTAACTCATGTGTGTAGTGATAGTCATATAATCCTTATCCTTCTCCACAAACTTCATCTGAAGATAAATATAACTCGTATCAGTGACCGAGAATTAACCTGCCATATACTAATGTACTCACAAACTTGCTTGCTTGCTTTGAAACAAAATTTTCACAAGTTGATAGTAGTTAACACTCGTCCAAAATGACATGGTTGAAAGTAACTTTTAAATCTCGGTATATCTTGACAGCCCCATCACCTTAATTAATACAGACTGTCAGATAGCCCACTTAATAAGGATCAATCCGCTCTATGATTTCTGACTTGCACGGCATTTTACTCCTATTCAACTAGCTTTCTTAACAAAAACAAGAATTGACTTAAATGCAACAGGTATACACCCTTCTTTTAGGCAAACTTTAGCCTTAACTTCAACTAAATGGGTCTAACTTGTTTTTAAATATTGACAAATATTCCATTACTTTTGAAATATCACAATATCACTTTTGTGGCCGGGCTAACAATCTCATTTTTAGGGATACCACAGAAATTCGGCATAGTAGTTAGGGTGTCTTCCATTACACATTATGGTCCCGTACAAATACGTTCCTCTTACCTAATACATACAGGAAATTAAATGTGTGTGTTTGTTTGTATGTGTGTGTGTGCGTACGTATGTGCACATATTCATACATACATAAAAGACGCTTCTTAAAGGAAAACATATTATAATTATTAATATTAAATTATTCAGCAAATGTTTTAATTAGAGAGGTGGTGCTTTGGGGGAAAAAATAAGCTCTGGCAATGCACACACCAATGAATCATTAGTTGTCAATTTAAGAGGTGATTTTTATTAAATATACTGAAACGATTATTAGAACAAGAGAAATTTTGTTATAGAAAATAATCATTTGTTTGTTTTTTTTTCCTCCAGATATGAAGTGCTCCAAGGAAGATAACAGTATTACTGATACTTCTGTAGATGAAGAGTATGTTGAAAATGGAAATATTTTTTCTGATCCTGAATCAGAATGGGCATCTAGTTCTGGAATAAGAGTAAGAAGGGCAAATTCTTTGAGGCATTTAAAACCTGAAAGTGAACAAACAGTCACAAGTAATGATTAAATTCCATGAGTTAATTAATCACTTTTTATGGTTATGATGTTATGCATATTTTAGAGACATAATAAGTTAAGAGAAAAAAAAATTAAATATTTTTTTATCATCTAAACCAAAATAATTGTGATATATTATTCTGTTCCTTCTGAGACAATTGTTCCTTATTTGAAATGTTTTTCATATATATATGTATATGTAGGTTGCTGTTTTCAAATATGGAATAAAAAATGAAAATATTAAGTAATTTTTTTTTAATTTAATCATTTTTATCTTCTCTCATTGTATAAACAAATATTAAAAATTAATTTATGTACTATGCAGTACATTATATATATATATATAATGTTTATATTATATGCTTTGTCTGATATAAAATTTAGGGTATGTTACTAAGTCTTCCTTCTTGAACAAATGAAAAGCGATAACAAAAAGAATGAGATAGTATTCTGTAATGATTAGTAATCAATATATATTTATTTTTGATAATGAAGCTGTAAATAGTGGTTATGATTAAATTAAGATTATAAATGTCAGGACCAATAGCAGCAGTTCTATTTTGAGTATCTACTTTAGCAGTTGTAGCTTTAATAGGTTGAATTGATTATATTACATGAACCACTTTTACCATAATCAATTTTATTTAATTAAAACTTCATTAAACAGAGTTTTAATAACTTATTGAAAACCATGCTTAATTTATATTATTAGAAAAAGGTGTCTTCTACTTGGACAGTGTTTGAGAATGAAAAAATGTTCATAAGAAAATATAATTCAGTTTTCTTACAATGATTAATTAAATATAAATAATCAAAAGAATAAGCATAACAGACCCACTTTGAAAACAGCAGTTATTTTTTGTTCAATATGAATATTATATTATATAAATAACCAAAGAATAGTAAGGTCAATATTCTTAATTAAACTTAAATTTGAGGTGTGTGTTTTTATCCTTAATATTGATTAAGCATAAATATGAAATTATTGTACACATTCATATCAATAAACACTTTTATTAAACTTACAGTTGTGTTTTAATCTGACAATTTAATCAACTCAACTTCTCTATGTGTATTCAAATTCGGCAATAGCCCATTGCAAAGTATTAGTTAGACATGTCATAAATATCGACTAGTCATATTTGAAATATATGACACATTTCCTTCTTAGTACGACAGTAATTCTTGTTTTGAAGCACGCAAGATGCAGCCTGAAGATAGAAAGAAGATTGTCTTAGATAGAGGGGTTTGCTTTATTTGCTTGAAAGATGGCCGTAGTGTAAGATATGGTAGAAAATTGATACAATGTTTAATTTGAGGTAGTGTGGCGGCAACAGATTCCTGCCCCTTGCTACAGGGGAAACCCGCTACCTGGCAGTGCTATACAAGCTCGCACGTGCAATGTACCTTAAAATGTATTTTTATTTCTTATTGTTATATGATAAAATAATGAAATTGGAAATACTTTTGGTCTTCAACAAACTGCTTTTTATTTCACTATGTCCATTAACCTTTATCCTCTTCTCTTACTCCATGCAAGTTTGGACGCTGATCCGTCCGCTTGTAGTCCTATATACTAAGTCAGGAGATTGATCCCTCCATTAGTATCTCATCCTCCCACAACTCTTGAGATTGATCCCTCTCATTGTGGATATCATCCTTGCGGAGTGTTAAGGCTGATCCCTTACACCGCAGACCGAGAGTGGTTCAGGTGCCTGATCCGCCTGACACTTAAGGTCATCCTTCTATACATATTCCTTCATCTACTCAGTCATCTTTAACCTCTATATTGAACACGCTCTGTCGAGGCCTTCTGGTAACTTGCATACTCTCTGCACATATATCTCGACAGTAGGAAGCACACTACGATTATTTGTCCAGATTTAATTTCATCTCATTCTTCAAATGAAGAATCAAAAGACTATAAGAAGACAGCAACTACAGTTTCAGTTTCCACGGATCTTTCAAATCATTCAAGAGTGCAGGTTTTACTAGGAACTTTTGTCGCAAAATTGGAACATGGTGCAAGGGAAACTGATCAGATGCTTAATTGACACAGGATCACAAGGCCATTGTAAGATAGTTATTTTTACTATTTCCAGATTTGTATGGAACTTGATCAAAGAAAATGAAAATCCTTGGTTGACCAAGGTTAATGGTTACTTCTATTATGGAGTAATGTTGCAGACCACATTAGTATAAGTGGTGTATTTTTTTTTTTAGAGGTATATCAGGTGCATAGCAGGTTAAGTGATTTTTTGAAAATTAAATTAATAGATTGTTCTCCTATATGTGCATTGCAAATAATTTTATTTTCTGCTTAGAAGTTAAATTTCATTTTATATTAAGTTAGTTATATTTATACTAATTTCCAATAAGCGCAGTAGTTGTTTATATTGCAACATTGGTTCAAAGACACAGTATATAAATATATTATATCACAATATGTATATATTTTTGTTATTTAACTCCTAGTTCTGCTCTGGCATTTTTTTATTACTGATGTTACAGTGACAGTCTCTTAATTATAAAGGAACTTCTGGCCACCAAAAGTAGACTTTTTTTATTTGAAATAATTAACTATTTCTCATTGTAAGTAGTTATGAAGATGGATACATAAAAACTATGGAAAATAATCAGATTATGGGAATTAAAAAATGGGAGAAATATTTTTACAGATTGAAAACAAATTTCTGGAAATAAAAGCAGTAATCTAGATGTATTGGGTTGTCCAGAAAATAATGCAGGATTTTCTTTAAAATACCTCTCTATATAACAAACTGTTTACATTTACTGGATTATTCATTTGCATGAATGTCAACACTTATTAATTCTCTTCCTAACGATAATGTTTGTTTACCTCTGTAGCATTTTGCGGCTTAGAAATAATTCAGTTTTTCCTAAGATTTCAATGCGTGATATATGCGTATAATTTTGTTTTATGAGTTTTAACTCAGCCTGGATGGGTCCTAAAAGGCCAGAAACATCAATCCAGCCTGGATGGATCCTAGAAGGCCAGAAATATCAATCAAGTCAAGAGTTGAGAGTAGCATTAATGAGTGCACTGTTCAACAGTGGCTGGAAAAATTTTGGGAGGGAGACTTCAACCTTGAAGACAAAGGTCATGGAAGGACTTCCTCTCTTGACAACGATGTTATGCAGGCTTTGGCGGAAGAAAACTGCAGAACAACTGTTCAAGAACTTGCAGGGAAACTTAACCTTAGCAAATCACTGCCAAAAAAAATAAGCGTTATGAAGTTTGTACAACAGTTCTTTTCCGAAACATAAGCGACCTTTTCTGTCCAGAGTTGTTACTTGTGATGAAAAGTGAATACTTTACGATAACAGTAGACGTTCTGGACAGTAGCTCGACAAAGGAGAAGCTGCAGAACATTTTCCAAATCTCCCTACTCATCAGAAAAAGGTGATGGTTACTGTTTGGTGGGTTTTATTCGATTTGATACACTGAAGCTTCCTTAATCCTGGAGAAACCATTAATGCCGAATCGTATTGTAACCAAATTAATGGAATGCATGAGAAATTGGCAATAATGAAGCCATCTTTGGTAAATCGGAAAGGGCCCATTTTATTGTATGACAATGCCCGGCCACATGTCTCTCGTGTGACATCACAAAAACTGTTGTAGTTTGGATATGAAACCCTGCCACTTCCCCTCTACTCTTCGGACCTCTCGCCTATGGATTATCAATCTTTTAGACACCTGGACCACTACTGACATGACACAAAATTTAATGGACAAAGGGAATTAGAAAATGCGTTTTTTGAGTTTATCAATTCTAAAGATGTGAAATTCTATTCTGAGGGAATGGAAAAGTTGCCAACATGTTGGCAGAAATGTATTGATAGTAGTAGCCCTGAAACCACGGTCAACCAACTCCAGTTTTTACCAACAGAGTTTTACCAAATTTGCCAAAAACTGGAACAAATTACTATAATTGGCCCTGTAACTTGGAAATAAATCCCCTAAGAGGAAAAACCCATAGAATCAAAGTTGTAGAGCATCAAATTTCGCGTATACTCAGTATCATCTAATTTAATGTAGGTCACTTGCTGCGAACGAAATCGGTAATCTCCCGATGGCTAGATATTGGTAATGAAGGTAAACGTGATTTTCAATATTTCAACAGTATGGGTGTCTATTCTACTGAGTTAGTTTTGTTTAAAGTCTGTTACATGCAGTATAAGCCTCTTTTCCACCTCTCAACAGCAAAAGATTTTGGTGAACGATGTGCCGAATGATACCGATTTTATAAAGTAATAACGAATCCCGATTCGAGATATATAATTGGCCAACAATAAAAATGTCAGTACCCAGTATACGCGAAATTTGATGCTGTACAAATTTGGTTCTATGAGTTTTTCCTCTTAGAGAACTCATTTCCAAGTTACACGGCCATTTATAGTAATTTGTCTCAGTTTTTGACAAATTTGGAAAACTCAACGTTGGGTGACCGTGGTTTTATACCTTACCGCGAAACCAAATTTTAAAGTTTATGTACTCGTTTGACGCAAAACTTAACGTTCTTTAATTTATTAAAGAACACATTTTTCGCTTTGATGCATTGTTTAGGAGTTATAGATGAAAAACCCAAAAAATATTGAAAAAATCTGACTTTTTTGGCTGTAAAAAGTTTTCCCTTGGTGGCCTGCGTTAGCAATTTTGTTTTTTACATGTCTAAACCCATATATACAAGTTAAAAAAATATAAACTTTTCTCACATTTTTCGCAATGGATTTCCCGTTTCGATCCTCAAATTATTGGCCTAATATTCTTTAAATCAGCCGCCATTTTTGAAAGCAGCGGCTCCGGAACGGCAGACAAGGTTTTTTTTACTCAGAATAACATACACTTTCGTAATTTACAATCAAACCTTCGCCTGCGATCAGGTCGATTTTTGGGCCCTGGCTCCAGGGCTATAGTGGAGACTATTTTGATTAAATAAAACAGTTGTAAATCTTTTTTTTTTCTTTTTAAACCAAAATTCTACATTATTTTCTGGACAACCCAAGATAATATACAGAAAGCTAAAGATTATAAAAAAATATGTAATATATGAAGTCATAGACTGTTATGTAGAGTGACGAAAAACTCACTCTCATTGGCACTACAGGCCGATGTGGTCCTTGGCTTCCTCGACAAATTTTCGTGAAGTAGTTCGATCTTGTGCTGTTCGCTCACCAGTTGTTGATACTGAGTAAGTTTCAGGCATCCCTGGCAACAGTGTCCTACCATCTAAGCCGTGGTCTTCCTCTTCCTCTGGTATGTGTGAAACCTGGCCAGCCCACCATAGTCTTCCCAACCTAATAATCCTCAATATGTCAGCCTCACCACATAACTCATAAATTTCCTTGTTAGTCCCCCATCTCCAATCCTCTCTAAACCTTCTCTTTCCTAATTACTTGTAAGGGTCCAGATCTCTGATCCTTAAGTTAGGATAGGCCTTATAAAAGTTTTATATAAGAAGCACGTAGTACAGTAGGAGAGGTAGGAACTTCTCAGATGCTTTGTGAGACCAAAATAGCAACTGTTGGCTTTAATGAGTTACTGGCTCGTTTCCATGGAGATCCTGTTTCCACAACTCATTACTGACCCCAGGTACTCAAACTGGTCGACATTCTGGAACACCAATTGGCCCAAAACATTTAGACAAAAAACTAATGACTTAATTTTAGTTAATAATGTCTACTTATACACTCCTCAAAAAACTTAAAGGGTCAAAGCTCTATTTAGTGATAATTTTTAAACAGATTGATAGATTTAAGTAAAAATTCATTGAGTTACACAATAAACATTTATTTTATGGAAAATAACAAATTGATCTTTATAAATATTAAATAAAAGAAAGGAAAACAAGATAAGATACAAAAACATGAAATATCACACCACCGCCAAAAGGAAATTGAATTTGCATGGTTGCATTTGTGTAGCGTTCTCCTCTATTCCTTCATACTCGACCATGTCCATCATTTGAGTAAATTAAAATTTGACTCATCTGTGAATAATACTGAGCTCCACTGTCCCACATCCCAAACTAAAAGTTCTCTAGTGAATAAATTTCGTGCAATTTTTTGACACTTTTTTTTTTTTTTTTTATGATCTGTCACATAGACAAAAATTATAGTGATATATTAACACATTCACACATATAAAATTAACAAAAGTAAAATAATAATCAAAACTATGTACAATAAAAAAATAAAATAACTTAAAGATAAGTAAATTAAAAAACATAAAAATACAGTCATACCTAAATACAATACATACAATTAGGCAGGAAACCCCAAGCTCCAGGCAGGGAACCTCCAGGCTTCTCCCTCCAACTATAAAAGGAAAAGCAGGACTCCAAGAGATCCCTGCGCTACTCTCTCAACCGCGTCACTGGTGCTAAAGCCAGTGGAGTTTGAGCGAGAGCGCTTTAGCCACATACACTCATACCTTGAGTGGCCATTGCCGGAAATCCAAGATATATACTACAAAAGATCTCTGGGCCACTGCCGCTTCAACCTTCGAGGAGGATTGTAGGGATGAGTGGAATTAGATAGGGATTGTGCTAGGGGATCTGGATGATTTATAAGGTACTGATGAAATTTGGAAAAATTTTCAGGGATAAGGTCAAGGACAAATGGGATATTAAGGTCAAGATGTAGGGTTTTGTTGGTTCCATAGAACGGAGCATCGACTATTGTTTGGAGGACTTTGGACTGAAAGGATTGGATGGATGTGTTTGATGCTAGAAAATTTTGCTGCTCCCTAAAGTTCAAGTCGGTAGGTCCAAATAGGTTTCAGGATTGTCTTGTAGGTCAGTAATTTGTTGTCAATTGAAAGTTGAGATTTTCTAGTCAGTAGTCTGTGTCATTGGACATGTCGTCTTTTAAGTCTAGTATGTGGGTTCCACGTTAGTCTTCGGTCTAAGAGAAAGCCAAGATACCGGACTGTGTCTGAATAAAGAAGCTGGATGGAATTAAAAGTGGACTGATGGGCAGGATCTATGACGGAGCGTTTAGATTTGTTTACTTTGATGCGCTATTTATTAAACCAGTGCTATATCAGGGAGAGGTGTCTTTGCAGATTTAAAGATGCTATTTCAGGATCTGAGTTAGATGATAGGATGGGGGTGTCATCAGCAAATGTTGCCAGGAAGGTATCGGGATGGACAGGGATATCAGCGGTAAAAAGGTTATACAGGACGGGGCCCAAGACGCTAACTTGAGGAACACTGGTTTTAACTGGGTAGGAATTGGAAAATTCTGTACCACAGTGAACTCGAAAGGTTGGAGCGGAGGATTAGGTATAAGGACTGAGGTAGATGGGTTTTCAGCGTGCCATACCCGGTCAAAAGCTTGAGCTATGTCCAGTCGAGTTTCTGTAATTAGGGCTGCATCAATGTTCTTGTCTAGTAGTAAAGCTGTTAGTTCGTCAACGTGATTTCTAACACCATTCGCATTCCAAAGGAGAATAGATATGTGTTTGATGGGAGTCATTTAAGGATTTTTCACAGGAGGGATGAGGTGAGATACGAGATTTGTAAGGAGTGATATGAGTGGGGTAACCATTGATTTGAATTCAATCAGAAATGATGACAAACTGGTGAGATCTGTGGCGTTTGAGGGAGGAGGAATTTGAGGTTGTTGATGTTGAGATATATTAGGAGAAACAGGATATTGAGGTTGGGGTTGAGGTAGTTGCTGCGATAGGGCTTCACATTTATTAGTTGGGTTCTTACCTCCAAGTAGTTCGGAGAATGATACATTATTATTAACAATTCTAGAAGGTTCTCTTCTTGGTCTGGTTGTCTCATCTTGAATCCGGTTCTTCTGGTATCTGGATTTGAGGTTCTTATAAGTTTGGTAGCCTTTGGTGTCCCTCTAGGCATTGAGTATAAACTGCAGCATCTTGTATCGGTTTGGTGCACTGTGCTGATTTGTGTTGTTCACTGCATTTCACGCAACGCGGCAAGTGGTGCCAATAAGTCTTCGTGTGGCCATATGCCTGGCAATTGTGGCACTGCATGATTTCCCTCTTAGGGTATGGCTTCTCCATCTTCACGATCTCTTGATTTTGTATATTTTCTCAATACCAGATGATGGGCTCTAGGTCCACGAAAAATAAAGGTAGTGGAACTTTATTTTTTATTCCTGGCTGGTCCTTATTCTCCTTCAGAAAAACGTTGGTTACCTTACGTACTTTAAAACCAAGCGTTGTTAGTTCTTCTTTTATCACTTCAGTTGGGGTTGAGGAGTGCAAATTTCTTATCACCACTTGTAACAATCTCTCCTGTTTCAGCTGGTACGTATGGAAATTTGCATTCGTTTCTGACAAGTACTTCACAATTTTTTGGTAGGTTTCTGCAGTATCTGGTGTTATTTTTGTATTGTTGGTCCTGTTGAGGAAAGAATAACTGCCAGAGCAGATTTCATTTAGTAGTGTACACAATAATTGGAAATTTTTTTTATTTTTTACAAATTCGGAGGAGGCCTTGTTTCCTTGGGTATTGCTGCTGACTCCATTATTTCTCTGTCATTCTGAAGCACTTGGAGCGGGTTTGGAGTAAAGAAAGGGGATTCTTCAACCATTTATTGCTAAGATGTACCTGGTTGAGGCTGAGGTTCTGAATCTGAACTGTTCACTGTGGTTATTGCAGCAGTTTCTCATAGGCAGCGACAAGTTCTTTGTTTGGCTGGTGAATCACGAGGGGTACTAACGCTGTCTGACCGAGTCCTGTTAGTGGGCACCTTACTGGACATCACTTGGTGACAATACCACATATCATAAGAGAAGAAAAGGGAATTTTTTTTTTTTTTTTTAAATATATCAAACAGTAAATATCAACTGCTCTGATACACACTTGAACTGTATTCATTGAATAATCAGAGAGGTTCCGCTGAAAAATAGGCAAAAACTGAGAGATGAGTTGAGAGCACAACCTTCGCATCAGCTGATCCACTGCCTTATGCTGCCTGGTTTAAGGTGGAATTTTTTAGGAACTCTTGAAATCAACTGCACCTCCCTTAATCTAGTTATCACCATTTGATCCAAAACACACATCTCAGTAGCACATATTAGTTCATTGAGAAGGTAATGAACAGTTGATTAGCAGAAATTGATTAACAATCACGATTTGAATGAAGAAAGTGAACTGAATCTTTTTCGGGTTTATTATCGCTTGGGATAGAAATGAGCAACAAAGAATGGTGCCATGTAAATGAATAAATAGGATTAAATTATTCACCTGTAACAATATGTCATTAGAGGAATGATTAAAAACTTAAACATTTTTTAATAATATAAAAAAAGTATATTTTATTTCATTTAACAATTGAAAAAAAAAATGACAAGACATGGAACGAACCAAACAAATCAAATAGAAACATTTATTGATTAAATCTAGAAAATTAATTTAGCAAGGAATGAATAATAACTTAACAGAAAAAATTTAAGTATAGCTATTTAATTTTATTGACTCCATGGATCAATGAGATACTGTGAAAAACGAGCTATGCTGGTTACCCCTCTCACTTCTTCATCCACTAATGGTAACTTTGTTATAGAGAAATCTTCATACAGATCACATATCTATAAAATAAAAATATGAAGCAATTGAGTATTAAATTAACTAATATATCACAAGTATGTTTTACTGGATTCTATAAGCAATGAGATGAAAAGTACCTATAGCCAACTTATCGCTGAACTATGAAAATAATATGTATAATGAAAAGCTAATAACTTTTAAAAATTTATAATACAGGCTGGCAATCATTTAATATAATAGTGCCTAAAAGAATTGGAAAATACTTAAAATAGATAAAGAATAAATAAGATTAATAACTACCTGGTCTAAATATTTTGACTGAAGTTTAAATCTAGAGGTACACATTGCACAAGGTACTTTACTAGCCAGCGGTGAAGGAATAAGCTGATTTACAATAATATTATGTGTATCAATATGGGATTCAGCTAATTCTTGCACTAGTCTTTCAGTTTCATATATGGAAAGAAACTCAGCTATACAAACACATACAAAAGTTGTCAACTCCTGAAATATAAAATTAATAGCTATTAAATTTAATATTTTTAATAATTGTACTAAAATGTTGAAAATAATTATTACCAACAATAGAAAAATAATGTAACTGAAATTGTATACAAACAATAAGCATAAGAATAATAATTATTTGAATTTTAAAAATCAAATTACATAAACCTTTGAATCACATTTGAGGATTCTTAAAACAAAAACTTTTCTGAATTTTATATGATCATTATTACTACATTATTTGAATTTCCTTAAATTAATCCAGTCAGATGGTAGTTGAATGTGGAAAAATTCAAATAGCCTGTTTCTCTGCAAATTGTTATATTTTTAGAGATTTGAAATTCTCATAAGAAATTTTCTATTGTTCTGAGTTATATGAAAACAACAGCAACATTTTTGCACATGTTTCAGTTTGTTTGCCACAAATCTGAAACTACGCATTTTATCGAAATTATTAATCTAAACAAAGTTAAAGAAGATAAAATCTACTATAAATTCCAATTATAGCTTTTTAAAGCGGATAAAGAGTTAGAGCAAGTTGACTATTTGATTACTTCACAAGAAATAGTTGTTTTCATCGGTTTTTCTACTGAAACTCATAATATATTCATCCTAAAGAAATTCATTATAATCAATTTGCAAGAGTATTATTGACTTTCCTATATATTTCATGTAAATGCGTTAATATATGAGAATGTAAGTCGACTCTTAAAGGGCACAGAATTATAGGCATATTTCAGTTTTAATATCTGCTACACTCAACTTAAGAACCTATACCAAAAGAATTTATAAAAGCTATGTAATTTGTTTATACGCTCTAGTTCAGTTATAAATATAGTTAAATGAGCCAAATCAAAAGAATTGAAAAGATAAAAAGTGCTTAAGTCGAGTGTGGTAGCTACTACAGCTGAAATACGCCTTCAATTCTCTGCGCTCAAACAGCCGCTTACATTCTCACATATTAATGCATGTACATAAGATATATAGAAAATTTAGTGCTCTTTCAAATTGATTATAATGAATTTCTTGGAGAGATGTATATATTATGAGTAGACCAGATTTCCACGTCATTGCATATTTTATTTGCTTGCATGTAAAAATCCCAGACCCAAATATTTATCCGTTTCAGGATCTGTAGAATAACATATATAAATTTCACATTGCACAAAATCTCACGATTTTTATTTTATTTTTTGCATTAAATTGCACATTTTTGTACATTTTGTGCTAGATTAAATGATTTATAAATATAAATATATATGTGTGTAAATATTTACTTTTTTATTTTACTATCTTGTCCATATTGAATTTATAGTTCAATGAAGAAAAATATGAGGAAGGTAAATGATTTTGTATCTCGCAAAGATTCGAGTTTAATTTTACAAAAGGAAGATGTAAACACAAGTATAGACAGACTATTCCTGGAATAGAACCCACCTGAAGTAATTCAATAAAAAAACTACCTTCCGTGTTTTGACTTGAATTTTCACTCTTTCTTCAGTCCTTCAGTATCCTTCCGGCTTTGAAGTGATTCGTAGACAATTATGAATTTGGCATCAATAATATCCGATTTGACATTTCATAAAATCACATTTGTCAAATTTTCCGCAAACATTAACTTAGGTAGAATCATGAAATGCGTAACTTAATAAACAAATTGAAATTATAGGAACTGAAGGAGAAAATCTTTAAAAAATCAATAGTGAAAAAGGAAAAATTATATCTCAAAAATTTTACTCCGTAATAGAAAAAAAATACAAGTAATACTTTTATAAAAACATATAACAACTGTATTAATGGTATAAATGTTAATGTTGACAAAGAACCAGCAGTGATTGGCTTGTTACAAAATGAGCCCACTTACATCAGTTCATGTTGAACACACTTTTTTTAAATTAAAAGACATATTAAATGATGGGGTAGACAATAATTCAGAAACAAATTTCGAAATGTATAACATTGTAAATTTCAAATCGAAAACTACAATAAAATTTTAATGTTGCTCAACTCTGTTAAGTTGCTAACTGACACAGCATACTAATCTATCTGGTTGACAATATCATCTAACAATTCAGCTTGATACACTTCGTATATAAAAATGTCATTTTTTGTTTCCTTTCTTTTCTCATCCTCATTCTTCTCAATTCTGTCCCGGGTCTATAAAGCAATGACTAGATTTAATAGAGGTGATGGTGCAGGATTCCCAGTTAGTCCAAAATAATGGACTCTGCCATACTCTGTATCTCATACCTTTCAAGACCTAGCTTTCCAAAAAATTAGCAGTTGAAAAGGGAATTAATTACCCCTCTACTTCTAAACGAAAGTCCTCGTATCGAAAAATTTCTCTCCCCAAATTCCTTTCTATATTTCTCTTTCAGGTATGGAATGCATTGTTTTATATATTTTCTCCTTCTCAATTTGTATTAATTGAAAAGGAAAAATAAAGTTTTCATTACAATGTGAACAATTTATAATTATGTATGTACATATATTATTTTTAAATATCTGAAATCTTTGAATATTTAATATATACTTATTCTTCATACCTTTAATCTTCTTAAGTTCATTTACACTACTTCATTCCTATTATGTGCCAGTCAATTAACCAATTCAAGGGAAATTTATACAAATATATGTAATTATTTGTTGATTAATTATTGAGACCTTTTTGTATTTGTTTTGTGAATTATCTTTAAATTTTCCATTATTTATGTTAGTCCTTATTACTTTCACTTACCCATATATGCAATATATAGTAAGTGTAAATATTGCGATCATGAAAATTTTGAGTCTTAGTTTTCAACGGAAATACATGTTTTGAGGTCTCCCGAGTCCAAATAACCAAGTCTCGCAAAATTGTGTGTGTGTGTGTGTATGTATGTTATCAGTTTAGTTCAAAAACGAAAAGTTGTATGAAAGTGAAATTGCATATTTTATTTAAGGTTTTTATAAGCTTTTAATGTTACAGCAACATTTTCATCAAAATCGGCAAACAGTACTTTATATAATCATATAATCATTTACGTTTTTCTCAAAAACGCCTCTAACGATTTTGATTAAACTCAGTATATCAGTGTATTATTAAGCAGTTTCTAATATAATGTAGGTTTTATTCTCATTGATGTTTTCTATCAGAGCTTAAATGGCTAATTTTAATATTGGCTTCCCCTAAAGTACCTTTTTTTTATTTGAAATAATTAACCATTTCACATTAATCTTTGATATAAAAAAAAATAGTTAAATATAAAATATGAAAGAATTCGATAATTAACAAAAGGAGCAATCAGAGATCGTAACGGATAATAGTTGTAGTAGAGGAATCAAATGAATATGAGCTTGCCCGAAAGATTATAACAGGCTTCCATACATCATATAATACGGACTCCGACAATATTATCTTCATATACATATGCGGTTTTCATAAATGCTATCGTTGGTATTATTTAATATTGAATTGTATAAATTGTATATTCAGAAGCTAAACATATGGTTGATTGGATTTTGATGTATTAATATTATAAATTAAACAATTTTACATATTTTGGGTTTTTACTGCACCATTTTGTACATTTTTAGTTTTTTTCTGCACATTTTTTGGATTTTTACAGCACAAAGATCCGGTCTCTAATTATGAGTTTTGATAGAAAATAGCCATTTCTTGTGAAATAAGCAAATCAACTTGCTTTAACTAAACAACTGTTGATCCTACATTAAAAAGCTATATATAAAATTTATAGCTGATTTTATCTTCTTTAACTTTGTACGGGCTAATAATTTTGATAAAATGCATAGTTTTGGAGTCATGGCAAAAAAGTAAAAATTTCAATGTTTTTTACATGTATCTCGGGACGCAATGGAAAATTTCCTTTGGGAACTTCAAATTCAGATTCCTGATCCCAAAAAAACACAGAGAAACAGACTATTTGAATTTTTTCCACATCTAATTATAATTTGACTGGAATAATTGTATAAATTTGATGCCGTCAGTTTTCTAAATGCAAGCGAATACATCCTCAGTCAAGGTGAATTCTCTTTTAAGGACACTCTTTACATCATCTCAAAATTTTAGCTGTCAGTTCTTCTCTTAAATGAAAAATCAAATTTTGCCACTTTAATTTAAATTTTCATATAGAAAGCAACGACTTTCAACCATCTGGCTGAAGTTAAATGAGGTTTATCTAGAATTCAAAATGATCATAAACTGTAAGTCCTTCAGTTAAATGAAATGGTAGGTAGCTCCTTGCAGAGATGGGCATATTTATGTTCAAAAATATAAATATGAATATATTCATATTCATAAAAAGAAACATAAATACGGATAATACGTATTCACAGCTGTAAATATAAATACGGCCATATTCACCAGTTTAAAAGTGAATACGACTATATTTACAGTTGTACAAATCAATAAGGCTGTATCCACGTTTATTAAAATGAACACGCTTAAATTTACAGAAGTGAATGGGAATATTTTCACACAATCTTATTATTGAATAATCTTATTTATTAAATAAGAATTAATTTATTTGTTGCATTAGGTATTTTACAAAATAAAACAAAAAAAGTATGCAAAACTTATAAATTTCTGGACAGTAAGTGGTTTATTAAATAAATCTCTTAAAAAATATTGGAATAATGTTAAAAGGTTGGTATTTGCTAACTCGAAATGATGTATACATAAAAAGTTCAATTTTATTAAACATAAAATTATAATTGTGAATATGTTAAGATTATTTGAATTGATCTAATCAGAACAGATTTGAATATATGTGTATGTATGTATATGTAAACATAAATAATGTAAACATGTATAATGTAAAAAAAACAACATTAATAATAAATAAAATAAAATAATATACTAATAAAGTATGGGGTATTTTTAAAACAAAATAAAAATATCTACCATAAATTGTCTTTTAATCACTTTCTATAATTTATTTTTATTAAAAAATAAAAATGTAATACATTTTATTACCTCAATTAGTATATTTGGAACTTAC